AAGAAGAAGAAGATGGCAGAGGAGGAGGAGGTGAGGAGGAGAGAGCCGGGGCCGTGGAGGGAGGAGAAACTCCCTCGCCTCCTAGTACCTGGCTACGCTGCAATCCGACTGCAGGTCGAAGGCGGCTATGGCCGCTGCGCTGCTGATAGTTGTTGCCTGGCTCCTCGTTCGCCGCTGCTGCTGCTCCTCCACGCTGCGCTAAGAATAGCACTGGCGCTAATGCTCCTGCTGCTGAACCGAAACGAACTGGCGCTACTGCAGCGTCCAGTTGCTCGATGCCCCACAATGAGGCCGGACCGGTATTAAGTACCAGTGGAAAAGAGGCCGGCCTCAATGCTGCGAGGCCTGGTCGTGATCTGAATTGTCCAGATCGACGGTTCAGATCAGACCGGCGGGCGGCAGCCTCAAGAGCGCCGCCAGGCCCAAACGGTAATGTCGTTTGGGCCTGCCCGTCGGGTCTGGTCCGTAAGTGGCCTAAAAGGGTCAACCGGCAGCCTAGAATGGCTCCGCCGTGGTAAAGGTCCGGCCTTGGGCCTGGACCGGCCCCTCAACCCCAATCTGTCGGGCCTACCCAAGCCCGTGTGACACAATGTGTAACATTGGCTCTCCACCAAACGCTTTGATCCCGAACAAGGCTTGTCCAAGAAACTCTCGAACAAGTGGCTCGGTCCAGTTCCCATCATCGAAAAAAGCATCCGCTGTAAACTACAAGCTCCAACTCCCTCCTGACATGAACCGCGTCCATCCTGTCTTCCATGTAGAATACTTGAAAAAATTCCACGAATCACCTCCACAGTTCTCTGATCGCCCTCATCCTCGTCCAGCACCTATCATGCTTCCCAGTGGTCCTGAATTCTCCATGGAATCAATCATCGACCGTAGAACAACCCCAAGTATCCAACCACCCCGAGACTATTACAGAATACGAAGTAAAATGGACTGGATACCCAGACAAAGAATCAATATGGGAACCCCTTGCAAATCTAAAGAACACCATGAAACTCCTCCATGCCTATGATCGTACCCACCCTGTCTCATAGCTATCTACTTGCCTATGTCTCGACGTGTACATACCTACTCTACACACACCACCCCTGACTCCAGCCTAACCCCTACCCTTGATCTTGATCTCTCGCTGTCTGATCCGCCCTTGCCTCAGCCTTGTCCTTCCCATATGTCCTCTACCACACTCTTTGTCTCTCTTAACCAAAGGTTGTGGACCTGCGTGACGCCGGGGATAAAGGATCTAATGGCAAGCGCTCGAGGACGATGGCCTGCTGCCTCATGATCATGAAGATAACGCAGCTAGTTTGGCCACCATGCTGTTTCCTTGGCCGGCATCTGGACTCGCGGACTTACTGGAGCAGCGACATGTGATCAGTCTGCGATTTCCTTGCTACCAGATCAGACCTCCTTGCAGTTCATGAACCGGACACACTCCAGCACTTGGACTTTGGACACTTGTACTCCTACTTCGCTTTCCTGCAGCTTGGACATTCGACAACTACCTGTTGCAGCCGCTGAAGGCCGGTTCTCTCACCTATCCTGGATCTGATCAAGACCTCCGAAGACCTTTCTCAAGACATTTTTTCGCATTTTGACATTTTGTTACAGACCTGAGACTTTGTTTTCCCCAGATCCCTCAGACACCCCAGCCCTTGAGCATTGAACAAACAATTTTTCTTTTTCTTTTTCTCAAACCTGACAACCTATAACCTTGTAGAACATGAATAGGATTTCCCTGTTACTCGTAGAACCTCAATAGGATCACCCTGTTGCTACCCTCAACCTTGTAGAACTTCAATAGGATTACCCTGCTACCTAAACGTTGCTACCCTCACCCTTGTAGAACCCCAATAGGATTACCCTGTTACTTGACCATTGATTCCCTCATCCCCGTAGAGCATCAGTTGTGTGCTAGGTCTGCACATAGAAACCCTAAACCATGACTGCGCTGCAGGTTCTTTTTTTTTCTTTTTCCCACCAGGTTTCCGAGCGGTTGTGTGGCAATGCCTCAACTCTCGAAAACCCTCGTTTCGATAATGGTGTGACATGGCCATGGCCCAGTGTTCCCTACGCAAATATGAAACCATTGTGGAAGAGGAAGGAAGGAAGAAAGGAGGTCAAACAATGTACGGCCATGAGACATACTGTTTGTTCTCCCATAGCATAAAAAAGGACACGCACACAAGAAAATAATGAAATTAATGAATGAACGAGCAATTGGGTGGGTGCTGACCAGGCTTTTTATTGTCAAGGGCTTTGGACTCATGAATGAACGGCTGGGATTCAGTTCTGTGCATTGTGTGCTGAAGCCTGGAACTATCCCTAAGAATGGACAGACAAATCCCTGTCAGTCTTTTGGGGAGTTGAGGGGGGATGAGAGGGGGGATTAAGGGGGAGATGATGGAGGGGGGGGGGATTGGGTTGAGGGGGGAAGAGGGGGGAGTTGAGGGGAAAGGACAGGAAGATTGGTAGCGCCCCCCAGAGACAAGGAAGGCTATTTAATGTTTACGTCTATGCTCATTCATTCATATGTTATGATTCTGGTTGTTCGTTGCCTGAAGGTCAACACTCACTCACATAGACTTCTGCACATGCCCATACATACACAAAAGGAAGTGGAGAGGAAAGGAGTATCACACCACACAGGGAGAGATGAACACAGCGGAAGACTTGACCATGCGATATGACAGGGTACACTGAAAGTGCAATTCACTCCATTCAATCCTCACAACCAGTCATAGAGAA